ACACTACACATTGGAGATTGAGGACTACAAATTAAAGACTAGAATTCAGCCAATCAGAACAAGACAGATTACAATTATCCGACTGGTGAAGATACTAAGATAGACTTTAAACAGCTGATAAATTTTCTTCTCAATAAAAAAAAATTTCTCATTAAACGAAATAAGTTTTTTCTATAAAATTTTATTTTATTTTCTTTTGTCAATAAATATTGTAATAAAATAAAAATGAAAAATGAGTCAACTTTCGAAGATTGATTTTACATCTTTATACGATAAATTTAAGCAGCAAAAAAAAATAACTTATGGCTAATAGCTTGAGAATCAAGAGATTCTCTTTATTACCAAAGTTTCGTAACTTTTGACATTTCTCAATCGGAGATCTTTCTTTGTTCCAAAATATAATGGGATTGACCAGCAATGTCACTTATTTGTCCATTATTTTTTCAAATCAATCTCTCAATTATTTTTTCCTTCGTCAATTTGGAACTAAATTTTCTCTTAACGACAATGCTGGGGCGTCATTTAAGCTATTCGATTGGAAAGATGCACGCGTGCACGTTTGCGGGAGGTAATTACTTACCAGGAAACACATTATCGTCAACCGCAAAGCACACTTCTCTTTCCTCCTTTCTACTAGGAAATTGTGGGGAGCAAGGGAACATGGTAACATCGCTGCACATTGTTCAGATTGCCTTTACGCGATTTTCTACACAAAACATTGATTATTAATTTATTTACACTTTGTGAACTGATTTTTTTTAATTATTATATTAAGTACTTTTCAAACCATTCAACTTTTATTTAAAACATTTTTTTTCTGTCTCTTACAGTTTCGATGATATTCGCTTCGAAAGAAAAAAACCAGCTTTCTTCAAAAAGATATTAATTTATTCCCTAAAAGTGCCTAAATTGGGCCTTTATATAAGAATACATTATATAAGAATACGTGTCACTTATTTTCGTCTTGAAAACAACACATTCAAATCAAAATCGAAGGGGAATACTTCCTAGGTTTCCTTATGAGAAATATATTCAGGATTAGAATTATTTTTGTACGTTCCATTCTTTTTGTGAAAAAAGCTATCTAGATATGTACAAAATTTGAATACGCAAATTTACACGCACGTATACACTCAATATACTACTGGCTAAAAATTTAAAATTATTAATTGAAAATGTTTACTGTATAAAATAAAATTATTAAATCAAATTTATACATTATAATTTTATTATTTTACTCATTGTAACTTTATTTTATAAAAAATAAAAATTAATGTAAAATGTTTGTAAGTTCTGTAAAAAAATATTTTTCATCAAATTCTTGACAAGAAAAGTAATCAAGAATATTACCTTTTTTTTTTTTCAAAATAATCACTCTTTGCTTAATCACTTTTATTACTGATTTAAAATCTACTTATTAACATTGATGTAGTAGAGGTCTTCAAGAGTAGTCCTAAAGTGTTGTGCGAATAGCTGCAAGTTTTTTTTACCGAATAAACTTCCACCTTAATGTGTCCGATGAATACTCAATTATTCGAATAGATAAACGAATAATGAATATAAGAATTAGAGAATTTTTTTTATGAAACCTCGGGAAACGCAGCGACCTTTAAAAACGTCCGCAGGGAAATGGAAAACCAGATCTGAAACAATTGTCGCGTGTACAACCTTTGACTGTAACCCAGATTGCACTAATCGAACGCGATATGCACACACACGCGCACCGATATTTACATTAATTTCATCGCTCGCGCGATCAACTATTGTGAGATGCGTTTATGCGCACGCTTCTTTCGCGTGCACGTATTTTTGCGTGCACGCGTTTTGACCCTCCTAGATATAAGCGATCAACTGGATATTGTTTATCGCGGAAGGAACATTCGAGATTGCTATAAATTCACTGAATTCAAATTTCGGTGAAATCAGAGTCAAAGATAGATCATTTATACATGACAAATTTCATACAAAATTACGACAATAGGGATCTCTATGAAGGTATTATACGTACACTTCAAAAAACACATAAGTAAAGTTATAATTTACAAATGAAATTATTTTTATTTATAGCAATCAAACAATTTGCAAAAATGAATTTGCATTTGAAGTTATATTTACAAAAGCATAAATTTTTATTTACGTAATATTTATATTCGTCAATTTATAATGTACAATTTTCCTAATTAAATTATTTTATCGATGTATATTTTGAACGTAAAAATATAAATGTTATATATGCATATGATATTACTATTATGTTATATAAATTATAATATATAACATTATATAAAATATACTATTATTATTGTAATTTCCCATCTAATATAAAGATATAAAGAAAGTACGATTTCGTTCAAGTATTTAAAAATTTAGTTAGATGTATATATGTATAGATCAAAAATAATTTTTTGTTACCATCAAAATAATTATGTAAAACATTTAAACGTCGATGACAATATGGCATAAAATTTTAACATCCTAGTTTAAGTGTCCTACATAATTCTTTTGATGGTCTACACAAAATATTATTATCAAATCTATATCTAGTTAAAGTTTTAGATATTTTAGCAAAACCATTCTTTCTATTGTATATATTTACACAATTAGAGATAAAAGTATTAATTTTTCTAAATGCAATTTTTATAAATTATGTAATTCTTACATGTATTATTTATGTAATTTTATATAAAATTTAACATACTTCTTTTACAGTTTAGAGGAATCAAAACCGAGTAAAATAGTATTTAGTGGTTAAAAGGATTCCATCAACACAAATTATCCTCATCATACGTATAATTGAGAGAAAACGAGTTATTTTAAGCTGTGAGAGAGAGAGAGAGAGAGAGAGAGAGAGAGAGAGAGAGAATCATACGATTCTCCTCCCGTCGATCGATTTTCCCGTGGCTTTAACTTTCAAAGATATCTCGACAAACATTCGGAATTTTGATAGTAACGATCTCTAGATCTCTCTCTCTCTCTCTCTCTCTCTCTCTCTCGAGGGGGTGGACGGGCATGCAACAAGTGCTCGGAAGAGGAGGCGAAACGCGGTTAAAAGTGAGAAAGGAGGGTGGCAGTAACAAGAGTCGGAGAGCAAGGGCGGGCAGGGTGGCGAAGCGACGAACTTGACACGAAAGCGACCGAACCACGCGAATGTACCCTAATGTGACGAAAGGTCTCTCGGAATATCCGTAGCAGGCACACCGACGAATTGCGTCCGATTAAATCTTACACGCGGGTGAATTTAATCGTAGCGTCGATTAAATATTCGTACAATCAATCGACAAATTATCTCTATAAAGTTTTACAGTATTGTGATGAGTTTTTTTACATCATTATATTTTTCAGCTCGCGGCACCTTAAATTAAATGAAATAACGAGTCAAGGTACGAGTCGAGGTACGTTATATTATAGGTGTCACGTTCAGCATAGGTATCTTTTATTAGATACCGCTAAAAAACGCAGCGTTCAAAATAAAAAGTTTTAAATTCTTTATCTTTTTTATAATCTTTTAAAAGTGATTTGATTTCAGTGATGATATCGCTTTGATTAAAATGAGAGTAAACATAATATAATTGTTACAAAATGTTTTATAATATTTTTTTACTTTGCGCCTCACTTTTTTACTCATTTCTAAATTTTCTTGTTTCTTTTTTTTTTTCTTTAAAATTTTCGCAGCATACCACCCGGGTACAAGCTGCCGTCATTTTGACGTGAATGGTTGGTCATTTTTAATTATTGATAACTATTCACATGAAAATAATGACACATTGTCAGTCTATGACGTTTATATACGTTATGTGGCTGCGACGTCATTTTTACGTTATGTTTGAACGTCATCTTAAACATCAGATTCGTACGTCAGGTTACCAGAATAACTAAGAATCTGAACACAAAGATGACTGCAATTGAGCCGTGGAAAGTAAGTTGTAGTTGTAGGTTGACCATAACATTGTGCGTTGACTTACGATTCACGTTTCGACTTAGTTATGACCATCTTTGTGCCCTAATTAATGACTTCGAATAGACGATATCTTGCTATCTATAGGCAATGTGTCACGGGCGTCACAGCCTATCGATCGAAAAACCCTGTTCTATATGAATCTTGTTGTAAATCTATTTTATCAAAAGCGATACAGAGAAGGGATATAAAGAAAGTTATATTGGATATGTATCGATATATTTTTAATAAGCAAGTTACTAAAAAAAAAACTTACAATCTATAAAATTATTAATTTTTAAGAATTCTAATCTAATAACAGTTGTTTGGATCGAACATAGAAAAACAGATGATAGATTATTAGATTTTTAAACTTTCTCCAACGTTCTCAAAAATTCTCGGCTTGTGCTTGAAGCGCCTAGAAGCTGTGAGCAATAATAATGTGTCATACATAGAGGAAGAGGCAGTCTTTATTAAATGCGTAGGCTAATTAGCTCGGATGTATAATGAAACATTCCTTTGCACATGACTTAACACTACGATGATCGTAGATGATTGCACAGAGAATATTTTATAGCAATCTACATACTTACTCTGCCACGGGGCGTCCCTTTCAATCGCATTTTAACGAAACATCGATTTCACTATTCGACAAAATTTAACTCTTTTCTTTTTTTCATAAAAGAAAGAAGAAGCATCATTTCATTAGAAAAAAAAACAAATTATTAAATTTTTAAACTTATTATATTTTCTTTTATACAACAGCGAGCAAAAAATGCGAAAAATTGAATTCTTTATCATATTTTTTTTTTAAATACATCAATGCCTCTTTTAGATAGTTATTTACAACACTTAACCTACGCATATTGAAAAGAAATATGCGTATATAAATAGTATATTACGCATATTTAAACGTAACAAGCGTAATTTTGTCAACTTGCGCAGTTTCCCTTTTACGTCCCTTCACCAAATCTCATTCCAAAACTCAGTATCACGAAATTCGTGTAGGGACAAATGAATGGACGGTCGATAGGTATGGGAAACGCTAACTTTCGTGCAACGATCTCGTGTTTGTGTAAAAACTAACCTACTGATATGTCAAATCGAATTACCTTGTATGTATTTACGACGATTAAAAACTCCAAACATATCTTTACATCGATCGTCGAATTATAATGATATCTAAAGTGACATCAAATTGTGTTACGTTTGAGAAGATGTAGATAAAATTGTAGATAAAATTAAATAAAGCTCATGAATAGGTTATTACAGTTTTATTAGATTTTCTTATTTTAGTATATTTCCAAAAATGTAATAAGTAATAAGTAATCGCGTTTGTATCGAATCTGTATTTTTGATTTTATTTCTGATATTTGAAGTATTATTATATCTTTTAGTGACGGAAACAAGTCATAAAGATCGCATACATTTGTGACTCTACTATCATGAATTTTGGGGATATTAAAAGTGAATATTCTTCGAATCTCTTCAACGTCGTACGTATGTAAGTTTATCAATGTTCTAATTAGTCGTAAATGCTAACTGTTGAAGACTAATTGATTTAAGAAATTAGACAAAAATTCAAAGATGTTATGTTTATTATACGTATATATAAAATACATATTTTATTATATAAATATATATAAAATATATATATTACAAATGAGAAAGCTCATAGTTCTACTGATCTAGAAATCTAACAATTTGAGGATCCAAAGATCACAATATTTAAAAATTTACGCGTTTACAAATGTGCGGATACAAATGTTTAAAACATCTATATATCTATTATTAATACTGGATTAATTCTATTTATATTATCCATCTACTTTATTATCCATCTACTATATTTACATTAATTCTGAATCCAAAAAACTAAAAATCTAAAACCTTAACGTTTTATGCATTTAGCGCTTTAATCTTCCAAAGTCTATATCACTCTACGCATGAGAGATTAAAAGTTTCGAATTGACGATTATAATTCTATCAGTCAAATAATTTTAAATTTAAAATTTTGTTGTCGTTCCAATTTCTATTTCGCAATTTTCAATCTTTAATGCATAGTGACATGGACTTGTAATAAGACCACAGATCTCGAGATTCAAAAAATTGTAACGCATCTTCGCGATCAGTAATTAATTATAAAAGCTGCATTATCTCGCAGACGCGAGAATGGTTTCTCTCAAGACGCGCAGCATCGACAACGTAAATCGCCGCGTAAGAGGCTCAAAATAGCGCGAATATCGGCATCACTTGCGATTGAGCAGCTGAAAAGTCTTTTTTGGTGTTCTGGCGATTCTCTATCATACATTCGAATGCGTCGAAACTGGCGTCCAGAATTCTTGATGATGTATCTTGATGATAATCCATGTAATTGTAACAACAAATGTGACACGGTACTACGACATGATAAAAGAAATTTGGTCCCGGAAGTCCCAAAGATCTATTCCATCGGTTTGCATTGTGGCGCAAGAAATTTGAGCGACAACGATTATCTCTCCAGCTCGTGTGACACGATAAAGAACTTGAAGAAACGTTTTATTATTGATCGCAGGTAGTAACATTTCTTGATGAATTTCATATCAATTTGACACTTGAAAATAGAGGAAACAAAATATTTTCAAATATAATTAGATTTAGATATACCGCCGTTAGATAAACTGCAAGTTAATTTATTTGGTTAGTTTATTTTTTCTAACAGGACTCTCTTTCAATCATTTTTCTATAAAATAGTCTCTAGTCCTGTTTTGAAGAAAAAAAAAAAAAAGATTTTATGATCGTAGTTTATTTCCTCGAAATTAAATACAAGTATAATGTTATGTCAATCACAACTGTACTAAATATAATACCTATTTGTATTCAAATTAAAAAAAAAATATTAGTGAAGCGCAAATTGAACTTTTAAGTAGTGTTTTACTGGAGAATATTCTTAAATATTAACTTTACATCTATGTAATTTCAAATTTTGCTCGACAACATATGTATATATAATATATTTCAAGTGTTTCAAGAAAAAGCATCGATTTTATACATATTTTAATCGTTGCAAACATAGCTGTTATTGTATAAGTTATATATCTAAAAGTAATCCTATTACCAAAAAGATTTTGACTTATATTACATTATAAACTGTACAATTTTATCGTTAAACGCCATTATTTTCACATTGGAAAATGGAAGAACCATATTTTCGTAATAATTTCAGACCTATGATCACATGCAAATATTGGGTCACACAGTCAGCTCCAACGACAAGCTTATTAATAGATGCAATGTCTTTTAAAGCGCATACAGATCGGCAGGCAATGATAGTCGATTGTACAGAATCGATGGAGATCATCCGTAAATATAATCAAACCCAGGAGAGTAATCATAATTATCGTCATAGTGAATTATACAAACATGTTGAAGAGAAAACAAACACATCAGACATTTCGCGGAATGATCGTGCCATTGACGATCACTCTTTTATACCTGATGACTCTAAGGACTCTTCTGTGAGAACAGATCATAATTGTGATGGTTCTCGTATGACTAGAGACGCGCAAATTCAAACCTCGAACAAAAAGAATTTGCGACGAAGAAAAATTAAGAGAAAATCGAAGCAGGCTACTGAAAGAATCTCTCATCGGAAACATTGCAATAACGAGCCGCGAATTGTCACGGATTTTCGCATTGGTTCGCATAATTCAAGCAGACAAAGCCACCACGATGAGCCGTGGCTGCGCGTTCGAGTTCTGGAGAACAAGCGCGCCGAGTATATCAATAAATTCACGGCCGTGAATCGACAGATAGAGGAGATAACGGCAACGCTACGGGATACCTGCTGCAGTAGCGAGAGCTCGCGAAATAATCTGGAGAATTGCGATGAATACTTTTCATCGATATCCGACGACACGAAAGTAAATTGGAGTGGCGTCGAAAACAAGTCAACAATTGTAAGAGAAAAAAATACGTCGAAAGACAAGAATAGTCTGATGAACATTAAAAGGATCATCGGAGAATTGAAAAGTGACACAAGTGAAAATGTGTCCGAGATTTTGCACGTTAATAACCTTAATAATGAAACAGTCTTCTCTGCAAAGGACGATATTTCTTCTTCGAGAAAGCCAAACGATTTTTTCGGACGTGACATTGTCCGAGCGATGGAGACAGTTTATTCTTCAAACAGGATTTCTATACAGTAAAAAGTATTTGTGTTAAAACCGGTCCTTGTTAAAATTTTAGAGTTGAACTTTTAAGATTGCCCCCGAGTGTTAATTTAATATGATTAGATTTAATATGATTTATTTAATATGATTTATTTAAATAGGTTTGTGTTAAATTAATATTTAAAACTTCTTAGTCATTAAAAACAACGCAATTTATAAGTGAACAAATATCATAAAAGTAATGTAGTTTTAAAACGTAATTCTTAGATACACGAATAAAAAATAAATGTATGTGTTAATTTGACATATTATAAATGTTAGTTTTATTATTTATTGGAAGAAATATACTTCCAAAATTTGTTTCTAAATTTGAATCCAAATGTTACATTTTTTTTGTATTAATTTTCATATAAAGTTTGTGTTACACGCTGGCATGTTTATCTTTTGTTAAATTAACACAAAAATTTGATTGGACCGTTTGGGACGAATAAATGTGTAGAATTTAATACAATAAAAAATTTCTCAACTGTGTAGGAACAAGACGAAGGCGAAATGTCATTTTATCAAACAACTGTCCCTCGATCTAGACGTAATCAAGAACGAGAACGAGGAGCTTCATGAATTCTCTATCAAAAATGAATCCTTCGATAAAGTTTATCTGAAAAGTAATTTTACAATCTCAAATAACGATAAGCACAAGAAAGATTTTGCTCAAAGTTCTGTCGATTTCAAAGAATCGAGATATTATCAGAAGACCTTTGAGGAGAAGATAGGTGAGATGGCTATTCTGGAAGACATCAAGAGAAGGATCGACAGAGACTTCGATGATCCTCCAGGCGAGAGGAGCGACACGGAGGATTTTTTCACTGTTTCCCGGAAAACCAGTGATTTTGATCGTGACAACGTCAACGATGTGTCCTCAGTGACAATAATCGAAAAATCCAAATCTACGCCGATCGTCGCGACGAATCTCGAGCCGACCGAGATACAAATTCACAGCTCAATGTCAGTTGGTGCTATGAGCGAGTGCTCGAACAAGAACTCTGCCCTTTCCAAGTACTTCTCCTGCACGCAAATTCCGAGTCTGGTTTCGTTAACGGAGAACGAGGACGAGCTCGGTGTCGTGGCTGACGATAGTATGATTGAGTCGCATCGCGGTTCGAACTTCAGTCTGAATAATTATTCGCTCTCGAACTTAGACTCCAGTTTCGATTGTTCGTGTTCCAGCTTCGAATATATCTCGCGTTACGATCCATCCGCGCAGTACATCACTCCGAATAAATCTTTAGCTGAAATGGTAAACAAGTCGGACGACACGTTTGAGATATGCGTTGAAGATCGCGAGAGTGTCGCGAAGAATAGAATTTGTAATTGGGAACATCCTTCTATTGAGGAGAGCAGAGAGAAGGAATGGCGAACTAGGAAACAGTATACGGCCGATTCCACGTTTGAGACGTCGAAGTCGTCGAGGTACATCGGTTCGATAGACTCGGGTGTATTCAGCTCGTCCCTAATCGATCTTTATCCGAACGAGAAATCCATTTACGCCGACAAATCGAAGTTTGAAAAGAAACGCCGCACCGAGACACTCGATGGACCGTCGACCGTCGTTGATTCCGGCTCGGATAGTAGTCATACCAATGACACGCTCGATCGGAAGGTGAACGACGTTGTGAAAGACCTTACGAAGAATCTGATACTTTGCGAGAGAAGGGCGAAAATGAAGCTGAGAGCGAGAGGCACGCGTTACGTATGTATTCACGTATAAATTTTGTAGAGAAATTTTTTACTGTAATTTTGTTGTACCATAATCACTGATTTTCTAATTTTTCAAATTATAGTCTTTCGTAATATTATTAGTAGACTTTATATTTTACGATTTATTAGCTATCAAAGATCAGATTTATACAATGTATATGACCATCTTTGTTGTAATTAATTGAAATAGTGGCACACGCAACATATTACGTATTTGTCTAATTATCTAATTTTCAGGCGTTGATTGATATATATGTATATATATATATATACACGCACACACACACACACATATATGTACATATATATATATATATATATATATATATATACATATATAGAGTGTCCCATTTTAAATAATACAATAAGTTTTTTCGAAAACTATAGTAAATACAGAAAACTGTTTTAAACAGAAGAGTATGATTCGGAGGGACATAAGAAAATATCATTTATTTGACCTTGGACGGCGTCGTTGAGGTCAGGTCAAGCTCAGGTCACAAAAGAGAATACTCTATGCTTTAGATACACAGAAATAAAAATAAAAGTTGTATTTATTTATGTTGAAAAATAGTTATCATTTTCGATTATTTTAAAATATATTGATAAATCCGTGCGTGTTTAAATAAATGTGATCAGGATTTGTAAGTGCACGCCTTTAATGTAATTCGCGATAACGTTTGCCCTAGACTCAAGACATCCTGTCGCGTGCTTACAAATTTAGCAGAAACCTCTACGACACTTGCTGCGACTTCTTCGACTCATCTCAGTCGTCCACCGAAGACGAAAGAATCATCAGTATCTCCACGCCGTCACTCTTATCTTTATCGGATTCCGAAATTGAAGATCATGAGTCGAAACGTCAACGTGTCTGTCAACGTTCAAATTCAATTCAAATATGAACCTATAATAATTGACAAAAACAATAATTGGCCAAAACCGCGTATTTGTTTATATTATTATTGTATAATTCCATTCAGTAAACATTGACGTTTGACTATTTCCTAACTCGTTTATCTCTCGTAAGTAATGATAAGAATAATTATAATTACGTTTATTATTACTGATAATAATAATAATATTAATTTTAATTGTTCACATAAACATGAATATTATACTCAACGATACTTTAAATAAAATCGTTATTCTAGGGTTATTTTATCGTTAGACTATCGTAAAGAAAAGTCTATATATAATCAAATATATAAATATATGTAATTATATAATATATAAAATATGTCCATGTAAGTACGTATTTATATTTTCTTTTTCTTCTATAATTTCTATCGATATACATAGGAAAAATAAGAAGAGAAATAATTGAAAAATAATTAAAAGAATACTTTTTGCATTGTTTTCTTTAAAAAATATAATTGCATATGTAATTTTATATACTATTACAGGAAATTTTTTTCTCAAATTTCATAATTTTCAAAAATTACTTTTTTAATTATTTTCCAATTCTTGTTATTTCTCCTGTATATGTATATACGAACAGATTCCTATACACAAGGGACAGAAAACATACTTTGTGTACAATTAGGTACATATACTTATATTTAATTATTTATAGACTTTTTTTACCGTGGATAATCGTATTTCTCGATAAAATGTTAATAATTTAAATAAATATCGAGCATCAACGTAGCAATCTTTATCAGTAGGTATATGAATTAACAGTAGAATGCAATTCAATCGTATTATTAAACAATAAATCCATTGTTCCTTCGATCGATATAGCACGATGATAAACTTACGAGCACGACAATCTGGTACCAGTTCATCGCAGCTCGTCTCGACACGTTCGTCGAGAGCAGTTCGACCACATCATTAGACGATACTGACCGTTTCCGCGTTGCGGTTTCCTTTGAAATGGGGATTGGAAACGTGCGCGGCACGATGCGACGCGGCGAAGACCCGTGCGAGCCACCCGAGCGGAAATACATAAACGAGCGAACGGAGTCGTTTCGCACAACCGTCCATCCGCGACTGTCAGAGAGGTCTCTCTTCTCTTACGTAAACGGTCCAGCTGGAAAACGAGAGGAAATGTCCGGATAAACGAGCGTCGCGAGAGAAAGCGGACGCGATCAAAAAGACGCATCCCGGGACTTTGTCTCGGGACGGAGTCTGCGTTTGATATCTCGGAAATGGGCAATTCCGCATCAGCCTGGACAAGCGAGTTTGACAGTGGAGAGATACGGGATATTGCGGGAAGCGGCTGAAATCCGCGTATTGTTCCATACGTGACACGTATGGAAAACAACGTTTAGAATTGCTGCCATTCTCTTTCCTCTCAATCATCTCTATAAAAAATTCCACACAATGTTCTAATAATTTGGTTTTTTTATCTTTTTCAATGACTCCACCATTATTTTAACTTATGAGGCAAGCTTTCATCTTAACGTTTGGAGCATCGCAATTTATTCTATATAATATAATTTTAATCTACGAGTTTTATACCGTCGATAAAGTTTTAATTTTGTGATCTTATTCTTTGCATTGGCTTATCAACTTGCAAATTCCTTCTTACATTCGACTGTGATTGGTTAATTTTCCGCGACTTAAAACCCTACGACCGCTACGACTTCTGTTGTAGACCCTACGTAAAGGCCCATCTACGTAAGCTCTTTACAATGATCGTAAGGGCCGTGGCACACAAAAAAACTTAAGACAGTAAGACGTAAGCAGTAAGGAATTTAACATATTGAATTGGCTACTGCTTATGTTATGGCCTTACGGACTCTACTGTGATTGGTCTGAATTTACTGCTTACGTTTTACTGCTGTAAATTTTTGTGTGTGCTATGGCCCTGACGTTTGTTGTAACAGCTATCATAAGCTCGTCGCAAGAGTTGACTCTATTTCAACTCTTACGATTACGATGCTTGTCTAGCGGTACGATAGTCAATGAGAATAAGGTGAAATCGGCGAGCATTGCGAGGTCGAATCCATCATCTTTGGTAACGTTTTTTCAAATTCATTATTCTCCATGCTAAAAAAGCGATACCTACGACGTTCGGCCCTAACATCCTGTTTCGCTATTAGTTGCGTTGTGATACTTACGATTTTATGTAGACAGATAATTACGGTAGCTTCTATTCTTACAATCACGACCGCTTACGATTGCAGCGTTACGATAGGTGCAGAGCCTTAAAAGGTAAGGAGGTGTTTAGGTTAAGGTCCTAGCTGTTGGGTGAGTAGTAAGATTACCCAATCACATTCGTGGATTACCAGATTTACCTAACAGGTAAAATTTACCAAAAGGTGGAACAACCAGCCCCTAGATTCTAAAATGAACAGAAAGGGATACAAGTTATATTGATTAACGTCTAAAGTTTATTCTGAAGCTAATAATGAATGAGTGTATTACAATATTTGAAGTATCTATAATTGATTAACATTTGACTTATACTCTTTTAGACATTTATTCATTTAAATTATGATTATGATTAACTTACAACCATGAGAAACTATTCCCTTCAGCGGACTCCCTCGATCCCAATTAGAAGTCACGAATCAGGTCCACTTTCGTCTCACGGAGTTTGGACTCCTCCTTTCCTACTTTATAGTAGGATATCTTCGTAGTAGCAGCCGTAACAATCACTTTCTTGTGAATCTTTCTTCGGATCTTATCGTCGAGATTTTGGATACGGAATTTAATCGTCCAATCCATGACTCCATGTATAGAACTGAGAATGCGGTGCTCGCGTTGAATTATCGCGGAGTGCAGGCAAGAATATGTGTCCCACATTGCACGGATTCGAGATTATCACCAGGTGATACTTATTTTCTCCTTTGTACGGGCCTTCGTGACGGCGTATCAAAGAACTCTCGGGGAATTAGGTATCGCGAACTACCGAGTATAAGGTGCTTTCCCGCGGCTGATCCTCCGTCATCGTGAATGGAAAGGAATTGCGGATTGAGAAGTGCGTCTCTCCGTTCTCTCTCTCTCTCTCTCTCTCTCTCTCTTTCAATTCCGTTAGGAAAGTAATTATGCTCCTTTTGTTTGTGAATTTATGACGACGACATGAAAGACTAAAGAGAAGAACATTCCTTGCTTGGATAAAAATTCTTCTGAATTTTCTTCAGAGAAAAATTTAGTGCTGACAATTATATGAATGACAATAATGCAAGTTTTATATTATATTATGTATAATTAATGTACGAGGGCTAATTGAAAAATGATAAGACTGCCTCTGTTTCTCTTTCCGCGAGGTATTTATTAGATGTGGCAACACATCTGCATAGGTGTTTATGAACGATATATGTACATTGATGTGTCTGAATTTGTAGTTAGACCACCGTAGCCTTCAGCATTCTGTTACAGTGAGTGGGAAGGCCGCGGCACAGACTTTTCCATAACACATAACGCATAGTACATAAGTGAATCAATCAATCAGAGTCCTTCTTTTCCTTCCATTTCACAGAAAAAAATAATTTTGATTGGTTGATTCTCTTATGCAGTATGTTTTATGCAAAAAAGTTTGTACTGCGGCCAAAACTTTTACTGTAGCAAGCATTTCGTACATGTCATCATAGTGAATGAGGTTGATGTTTCTATGAAAATATATACGGCAGAAGTATGTGGCTGAATTTTGCATTAAGTTTGATAAGAGAGTTTGGTAATGGAAACTTTGGAAATGTTACAACGGTCATATATAGTAGAGTAATAAAACGTTTAGTGCTATAGTTTAATGCATTTTGGTGATGGAAGCACTTTAAGAATGGCAATACGCGAGGGAATGAAGTGTGATCGGGGAAGCTATTCATAGTGCTTATGGATTACGGATATCAACATTGCCTAACATTTAATAAGGCATTAATAATAAATTGGAAATCAGAAGCTAGAAATTAATCAATCATAATCAATTACTCTTTTCACACTGGACTGTGATTTGTCAATTTCTAGCTTCTGACTTCTTTATTACTAACGGCTTATTGTAGAATGTGTGTAGAATGTGTTAAGCAGGGAACACACACTTTTACATAACGCATGATACAAGAGAATCAGAATTCTTCATTTCTATCCCCACTATTCGTTATTATTATTATTAATATTATAACAGTAATAATTATAAATATGATAGGATGTAATTATAGTCACAAAAAAATTTCTGCCAATATATACTACTTAGAGATAAAATGTCAGATCTATCTCCACATTTACTATGTACACACATTCAACGAATTGTTAGAGCAAAATGATCAACCTACTGGGGTTGCCGAAGGGTCAGGCCCGTGATGAGCGGATACATCCTCTAGGGTCGGTTCAGGGCAATTTTCGCCTCAGGAAACGATTATGCATTAACACCAGTCTGACAAAATAATACATCAAACTTGCCCTCTGCACTATTAATTCTAATTGTATTATACTGCTACGTGTTACTAATTTTATTTTCGTAGATTAATCTTATTTTTCTAATATTGAGAGAAGAAAAGTAGTTGCAATTATCATAATTTAACTATATATGCTTTGTAGTTATTTTTAGTGTTAATATATTTATAGTTGAAAAGATACTGCATTACGATTATTGCAATTATATTATGCATTAACTGTATCACAAAAGTGATTATTTTTTTATTTTTATGCGTTTTATTATTATTGTTATCATGTAAGCATTGTAAACGAATATTAAGAAAATAATGAAATTCATTATATTTGCAATTACATTTATTAAACATAAAAATGTTTATTTTATTTCCCATTCATATCTTGATATTTTCGTATATCAATATTCGAAATGATCATGTTTTAGAATACAATTTTTTAATACTTGGTAAAACTTTTTTTTTCTGTGTATTTTTATAACCTTTCCAACAATTTCTTAATCGAAAATAATGATCTGTGTAATATAATATTAATTTATTGAATCGGAAAAAAATTCATAGCGCTACTTTATTTATATTATGCCTACATGTCTTTAAAAAAAAATTGCAAT